AGCACCCCAGTGGCTGTATGGTCATGGGCTGCCAAAGAAAGGCAGCTTCTCTGGATGCCTTGTGAGGATGGGACCTCAGAGCCTGTGTGAAGCTTTTGGAATCTGTTTTGGGTGAGTTTTCTTCTTGAGAAAAGAAGCATCGAGGTGCCTTTCCCCAGGCATCGTGTTCCAGATGACTGTTGTCCTGTGACACTTGGGAGAAACCCAATTCTTGCAGCCTTGTGTTGTCCAGGTGTTGGTTTCCAGGGCTGCTCTATCACCAAAGCTGGGCTAGGAGAGGCAGAGGATGTGTGGGCTTCAATGGGGTGAGTCCTGCTGGTGCTGAGTGGTGCTTGGGGTGTGTATGCGGGCCTGAAGCCCTGACCTGGGCCTCTCTCTGTTCCTTCAAATTGCCTTCAAAAGCTGCTGGTACTGGTGGAAACCTGGCAGCTTCCCTCTTCCTTGCAACAGCAGCAGCCCTTGGCATCCCTGTGTGACTCTCTGCTCCTGGCTCCCTGAGCACATTGACCATCACTGGCGTCCAAGCTCAGGAGGAGGCTCTTCACTACTGTGCAGGCTGTGATGGCACCAGAGACGCTGTTGTTGAGGTACTGGACAAGCAGGGTAATGACAGCGGGTGTGGGCTGCCTCCTGCCCCTCTGCCTTGATGTGTCTGTCTGTGAGTGTCCTGCCATTCCTGTCCTGGGGCTCTGTGAGGTGACTGTAGGGCCTGGTCCCTGTGTCCACAGAACACTCATGTGCCCTGGCCCTGCTTTGTCCCCAGCTGGGCCTGTCTTCTCCTTGCTATCTGGGGGAGCTCTGCTGCCTTTGCACTGGCTGACCCATTCTCTCCTTACACTCCCTAGTTTCCCTTGGTGATCCTAGTCAGGGTCCCTGCTTTGCCTCCCGCATGGGAATGGTATGGTCACCACCAGCATCTATTCAGATTGCATCCTGTAGAAACTTGGCCCTGTCTGAAAACATTTGAGCTGTTTTGCACAGATGGGCTGTGCATGGGGCAAGGAGGTGTTGGAGGGAGTTGGGGGTCTAACAGTCCAGCCCATTGGGGTGGGGAAAGGGAGGTGGTGGAACTACCATGGCCGGGCCCCTCTGCTCCTCAAGCTGCTTGCCCAGGGCTGAGGTGCCCTGGCCAGGAATCTTCTGCTCCAGGAGTAGCTTGCAGTGCTCCTGTCACTGTGATGTATTGGAACAACAAGAGATGCTTGGGCATCCCTGCACCATTCTCTGCTTCTACCTCTGCCTCTACAGAGCTAGGTGCTATTACTGGGCTGTGAGCCAAGGATAAGGCCGTGCATTTACTGTGGTAGCAGGGGCTGCAGTGTTGACCATGGGCAAGATAGTTGGAAGGTTGGTGGTAGCTGTTGGGAAGGCTGGGTGAATGTGGGTGCTGTTGTTAAAAGTTATCAACCATGTGGCAACAACTGGGCTGACACAGGAACTGTGTGGTAGGCGGGGGTGAGTCAGATGATGTCAATGTTGGTGACAACCAATTGCCTGAGGACAGAGACATTGTCACCTGCAACTACCCAAGCTAGAGCCAGGGCAAACTGGGCCCTCCATTGCAGAGCTGAACTGGCACGAGCCGAGGCCCCTGCCCCAGCACTTGTGGGAAGTGAAGTGACATGTGGGCTCTGAGCTGGGGGCAGCCGGGTGTCCTTGTCCAGGTGGAGCTGTGAGGGAGCCAGGCTGGGCGCGGGGCGGGCGGAGGAGAGGAGGCGCGCGCAGCTCTGGCGCTGAGCGCGGGGCACATTTGCATGGAGGGGCCGAGCCGCGGGCGCACG